ATTCCATCCGTTGCCAAGAAAGTGAGTGCAAGGAACATTACATTGGAGAAACCAAACAAACACTCAAGAAAAGACTTTATCAACACAAATGGAAAAACAATGATAACAAAAGTGCAGTATACGCACACTTAAAAGAAACAAACCACACAATTGAAGATGAACAAGTAAAAATCCTAGGAACAGAAAAGAGATGGTTTGAAAGGGGAGTAAAGGAAGCGATTTTTGTTAAAAAATTTTCACGCTCTCTGAACCGTGAAGGAGGTATCAGATTTAACCTGTCTCCTATTTACAATAACTTGTTGACCACCAAGGGACATAGACATGCTGATCAGGCTAACTGAAAGTAGCAATTCAGCCCTAGCCCAAACAATAGGCCTAATCAAGCCCCGACGATAGGGAATTTAGAAATCAATGGGCCTCTTCACCATAGGGGCGTGACTAACCATCCCCACCCAGTCCTCAAATAGGCCACGCTCAGTCTTTTGGCGCGGAGCAATTTCCCGGAGTCTTCACGGAGACTTCAGAGTTGTCTACCACTGACGAAGCTTCTGTGAGAGAAGCGAAACGTCCTTTTTTGTTTTTTGTTTTTTACCCACAAGTACAGATGACGACTGACGGAACCCTTTCTACGATGGAACTTTGCTGTACGACTGAGAGCCTCCACAAGCAATACTTTTTGTGAAAATGAGACTGATAGGATGATTAGAGTGCAGTGTACATTAACACAAAAAAGTATTACTAACACACACAAAGACACACAAATGTTTGTTTGTTTTTTCTCCTCTACACCCCTCGCAATCGACTTGGGACCAGTCCGCGATCTACCGGTCGATCGCGATCGACGTAATGGGCACCCCTGCACTACAGAGACTTTAGATTTGATACGAATGTCTGTCAGGTACTATAGGTGCTGTATATTATGGTTGCACCACATTTGGGTTTTACCATCGCTATACAGTTTTATCATATCAAAATAGGGTTTGGGATGTTGAACAAAAGCTGTTTCGAGTCAGATATTTACACTGTGTTCTTGTGTGACCCCTTGTCTGTACTCTTATCCCGAATATTCGGGTTGTTCTGTGTTGAACTATTTTGTGTAAATCTTGTTGACAACACACATGCACACAAGTATTTTTGAAATGTGTAGTACTTTTTTCTCTTTGTTGTCCTGTAGCATCGGAGGTCACCAACATGGTGCCCATGGGCCACAGTTCATCCCAACGACTATTTGAATACCGGGCCTTTTGTAAAAAAAAATTTTCTTTCCGTTTTCCTTTTCACCGATGACTGAACAATTCCCAGGAATTCTGTCGATGTTATCATGTTAAATGTAATGTGTTATTTCAGAAGTGGGTAACAAACTGGTATCCCTTAGCATTAATCAGTCCGTACCGAAGAAGTAGCTCTCAGTTTTAAAAAGGATGGTGAGCCCTACTGTAGTAAGAAATAAAACAACGCATCCCAACTTGGACGCGTTATTATACTGCAGTTTCAAAATATGCGCGCTTATTTCCATCTGTTTCTTGACAATTTGTGTTCCTCATAAAATATCCCATCTTCTTGAGTTCATTGGTTCAAAGTACATTTGAAGCTTTCAGCACTTTTAGGAGAGTCCCAATGCATGAAGCCCAAGACTTCCACATGTCCCCCATAGCATTTCCATCCATTACTAGTCCTACATTTTTGGCATGCCCCAAACCCTCTCCATGTCTCTAACCCTGGTTCCTCTCTCTTCTGTCTTTCTTCACACCTTTTTGCATGTGACTGCTGTGTTTGATCCCAGGGCTTTAAAGGACAAGCAGGGGCGAAGGTAAGTTTAAGGCCATTAGATTTTTTTTTTTTGGCTGTCGATTCTCATGTCAATGTCATTTGCTAGCTTAGATTTGACATCTTGCCATCTGCCGCAAAGTCAACTTTCTCGACTGTCTTTTGTGAGCAAAATCTTGAAGCCACTGAAATACTGAAAGAGCAAATGGGTTGTCACAAGGTACTGTATCATTATTGTTGGTGTTGCTGGTCAGAAATTCACAACTGAGTGCGGGGCTGTGTGGTCGCACATAAATTCGTTCCACAGACTAACTTATTGTAGTTGGGAAAAAAAAAAAATCTGTAAATCGTTTCCAGTCCTGGTTGGATTGCCTGTACTCTTAATACTATGACATACTAGAAATATCTAGTATATCTAGTAAAATCTGAGTTTTAATTTAAACCTCCCCAAACAAAAAGGAGAAGCATTTTTGAGACTACAGTCCTGTAGACTACATGAGAGGATTGCTCAGAGAACTTGGTTTTGTAATTGAATATTTGACAAATTATGAATTAAGCTGCATGTAATTAAGTTAGACTCAAATCAAGTTTTGCATTAAAAAAAAAAAAACATTTTGTCATGTTTTTGGGAAAAAAATGTTCGAAGGATAAGCGGGAAAGAAAATGAAAATGAAGGAGTCGACTTCAGGAGCCTCAAACTTTTTTGCGCCACAGACCAGTTTCACGTAATACTCTCGCAATACTTTGACAGACCGGCATATAACCAAATCAAAACAAGTGATTAAATACACAACTGACCAGCGCACTGAGTGTAGTTTACTGTAATGGAAGACAATGTCAGCCAGCGTACTTATATCTAGGCGAATCCATAATTTTGTTTTGGTTGCCATCATTGCAGCAAATCCTGTCTCAGAGTTTTATATATACTCAACTCAACTCAACTCAACTCACTTTGACAGACCGGCATATAACCAAATCAAAACAAGTGATTAAATACACAACTGACCAGCGCACTGAGTGTAGTTTACTGTAATGGAAGACAATGTCAGCCAGCGTACTTATATCTAGGCGAATCCATAATTTTGTTTTGGTTGCCATCATTGCAGCAAATCCTGTCTCAGAGTTTTATATATACTCAACTCAACTCAACTCAACTCAATTGTATTTATAGAGCACTTTCAAACAGCCATCGCTGCATACCAAGTGCTGTACATGGAGCAACTAACATATACAACAGTAAAGCAACAATTCGGTAACAAAGATGGTAGAAAGCACGGAACAGCAAAACAAAGAACGAATTCTGTCTCTGATTGGGTTGTTTTTCCTCTGCTGATTTCTTAAACATCTAATAAGGCAAGGCAAGGCAGGTTTATTGATAAAGTGCATTTCATGTGCTTCACATAGTTGCAAAACAATTTTGAAAGACAAAATACAAAATTTAAAGGTAAGAAAATGTGATACATTAAAACAAAAAAAAAATTAAAAGACATTTAAAAGTAAAGTAGCAAAATAAAAAGCAGTTTACTAAAATAACTGAAGGAATGTACAGCATGAGAAAAAAATGATTATAGAATTGCTTTAAAAATGTTATTCATTGGTATAGGGCGGGGAAAGCATAGTTTTTCACCTGGATTTAAAAGCATTTACGCTTGGGGGGGGGCTAACTTTATTTCTGTTGACAGTTTATTCCATTTGCGTGCAGCATAACAGTTGAATGCTTGCTGCACCATGTCTGCTTTGAACACTTGGCTCCACTAATTGACCCAAGTCTACTGACCTCAGAACCCTACTATCTTTATTGCCCATGAGCATTTCTTTAATGTATTCAGGACCTAAGCCATTCAATGATTTATAGTCCAGAAGCATAATTGTAAAATCTCTCCTACAGCTGACTGGGAGCCAGTGTAAAGTCTTTAGGATTGAAATAATATATTCTGATTGCTTTGTTCTGGTAAGCTGCAGCATTCTGGATGAGCTGCAGCTGTTTGATGCTCTCCCGAGGAAGTACAGTCACCTTATATTAAACATTCTTTTGTTTTTCATGCTATCCAGATTGGTGTGCAGTGTGGAATTGAGTGAAACATAATTCAAAGCTTTGAAACAAATCGTTCATTTAAGGTTAAAATCTTTTTGGATTTAAATTTTTATATCCGACTGCCTGAGGTGTCAGTGCTTCACCAGTCAGCATCCTCATTGTACGTCACTGTGTGACATCACAAAAAAAAAAAAAAGCAAAACACCGATGAGACAGAAAGCAAGAGGTGTGTTTTAAGTCATTTAAAGCTGTGTTTCCCATTCTTTCTTGAGCCAAAGCACATCGTTTACATTAGAAAAAAAACATCTCACTGCACACCAACCAAACGAAAATATCTCAAAAAGTGGATACAATGGTTAATTATGTACTTTCTGCCATGCACTGGAAGTATATTGACTTCTTCTGCCTGTCACGATATGTTGGTGGCAAAGATAGATGAACAAACCTATATCATTTGTACTATTCTATAAATGCATGGCACACTGGTTATGAACCACTGCTATAGATGACACTAAACTTCACATCTAGAGGCATATTTTGGGGGAATATACGTGATGAAACTTTAAATTTTACAATGCCACCATGACAATGTTTTACAACTCATGCAAAGATTTTTTTTTTTTTTTTGAAGATGC